GTTTTTTAAATAATCATTATTATTTTCCCTTCCTTTCCTGTCCTATTAAACAGTCTTTATCTCAGCCCACGACTTTTACCTTCTTTCCGATTCTCTCCCCTATCCCACTGGGGGAAAAGTGCACGAGTGGCTGTGTGGGGCTTACTGCCAGCTGGAGTTAAACTACAATAAGCCTTAACTAATTCAAGCATCCAATATTCAGCATCTATTCCACTAATGAGAAATATGTGAAAGGCCTTTACAAAAAATGAGAAGCAATGGCACGTTTGTAATGACAACTAACTCTACAGCAATCTGTTGAGAAGAGTTTTGTAACAGACCTTTAGGACTGTTTGAGAACCAGCAGGACAGGATGAGGCCTCACTTGAACTCAGACTGACACACTGAAGTCAAGGAACTTTGGATAGGTAGGACAGTGATAAAGGAACTATGTGTTTCTGTCTGTCAACTGGATACTGCCATAAAAGACAATAAAAAATGTTTCTATAAATACATTAGCAACAAAAGGGAGGCTAAGGAGGATCTCTATCCTTTATTGGATACAAGGGAAAACAGTGACAAAGGACGAAGAAAAGGCTGAAGTACTTAAAGCCTTCTTTGCCTCAGTCTTTAATAGTAAGACCAGTTGTCCTCTGGGTACCCAGGCCCCTGAGCTGGAAGACAGGGATGGAGAGCAGAATGAAGCCCCCCTAATCCATGGGGAAATGGTTAGCAACCGGCTTAACCACTTAGACACACACAAGTCCATGGGGCCAGATGGGATCCCCTCAAGGGTACTGAAGGGAGCTGGTGGAAGGCCTCACCAAGACACTTGCAATCATTTATCAGCAGTCCTGGCTAACCAGGGAGGTCCCAGTTGACTAGAAGTTAGCAAACGTGACATCCATCTACAAGAAGGGCCAGAAGGAGGATCTGGGCAACTACCAGCTTGTCAGTCTGACCTCAGTGCCGGGGAAGGTTATGAAGAAGATCCTCCTGAGTGCCATCACACAACACGTACAAGACAACCAAGTGATCAGGCCCAGTCAGTATGGGTTTATGAAAGGCAGATCCTGCTTGATAAATGTGATCTCCTTCTATGCCAAGGTGACCCGCTTAGTGGATGAGGGAAAGGCTGGGGATGTTGTCTACCTAGACTTTAGTAAAGCCTTTGATACTTTTTTCCCACAGAATTCTCCTGGAGAAACTGTCTGCTCATGGCTTGGACAGGTGTGCTCTTTGCTGGGTAAAAAACTGTCTGGATGGCCAGGCCCAAAGAGCTGCAGTGAATGGAGTTAAATATAGTTGGCAGCCAGTCAGAAGTGGTGTTCCCCAGGGCTCAGCACTGGGGCCAGTTCTGTTTATAATATCTTTATCAATGATTCGGATGAGGGGATTGAGTGCATCCTCACTAAGTTTGCAGATGACACCAGGTTGGGTGGCAGTGTTGATCTGCTGGAGGGTAGGAAGGCTCTACAGAGGGATCTGGACAGGGTGGATCGATGGGCCAAGGCCAATTGTATGAGGTTCAACAAGGCTCAGTGCTGGGTCCTGCATATAACAATCCAAGAAGAAGAAGGCTGGAAGAATGGCTGGAAAGTTGCCTGGTGGAAAAGGACCTGAGGGTGTTGGTTGACAGCCAGCTGAATAAGAGCCGCCAGTGTGCTCAGGTGGCCAAGAAGGCCAATGGCATCTTGGCTTGTATCAGAAATGGTGTGGCCAGCAGGACTAGGGAAGTGACTGTGCCCCTGTACTCGGCACTGGTGAGGCCACCCCTCGAATACTGTATTTGGTTTTGGGCCCCTCACTACAAGAAAGTCATTGAGGTGCTGGAGTGTGTCCAAAGAAGAGCAACGAAGCCGGTGAAGGGTCTAGAGCACAAGTCTTATGAAGAGCAGCTGAGAGAACTGGGGTTGTTTAGCCTCGAGAAAAGGAGACTGAGGGGAGACCTTATCGCTCTCTACAACTACCTGAAAGGAGGTTGTAGCGAGGTGGGTGTTGGTCTCTCCTCCCAGGTTACAAGTGATAGGACAGGAGGAAATGGCCTCAAGTTGCTCCACGGGAGGTTTAGATTGGATATTAGGAAAAATTTGTTCACTGAAAGGGTTGTCAAGTATTGGAACAGGCTGCCTAGGGAAGTGGTTGAGTCACCATCCCTGGAGGTATTTAAAAGCTGTGTAGATGTGGTGCTTACAGACATGGTTTAGTAGTGGACTTGGCAGTGCTAGGCTAACAGTTGGACTTGATGATCTTAAAGGCCCTTTCCAACCTAAATGATTCTATGATTCTACGATCTTCTCCATTAGCAAAAAAGTAAGCTACCTCATAAAAAGAGGCTGGTTAACAATCATTGCATGGATTGTTATGATGGACATAACAATTGACAGACCCTACAGGGATCTGGTTGACCAGCCTCTAGATGTCTATACCAGAGATAGCTGAATCATTTGCTTCTGTTGAGTGATCTCCATTGGCTAGAAATCTAGTCCACGTATAAGTACTTCAAGTGGATACCTAAATTTACCCTAATCTTATCCTGAATTTCATCCTGTTTTATCATCCTGAAGTAAAAAGTGGAACAACCTTTACTGTTTGTCCCATAGCCAATTTGCTCTTATATTTCATTATTCCAGAACAAAAAGTAAATTAAGTTTTAGAAGCAGGAGTAATGTATGTGTTGTATGCCATAAATACAACACAGTAGGAGGAACTAATAATTACTACTTTAAAATTTTGATTTTGGCTTAAAATGCCAAAAGTGGGAATACTTTAGAGTCACCACTCATGAAACTGAAAAAGGGAGAAATGAAGAAAACTTAGGTCATACTTGTCGATAAACTGAATATATGTATTCTACACGATCTGCAAAATGTGAGGGTTTTGACAGTCCAGCAAAGTTCCACAGAGTAGAGATATGGAGGATCACAGGCTTTCAAAGACAGACAAACTAAACAAGATAAAGACTCTGTGAATTCTAACAGGCACATCACGAGATACTACTCAAGCCTACAAAGTCATAAATCATATGGAGAATGAATTAAGATGTGATATAACCACTCCTTTCATAGCATAACCGCTAAGGCACACAGTGACTTTATACATTTAAGCAGGCTTAAAAAAAACAAAGACAAGAAGTACTTCAAAGGTTATATAATTATTTTGTCAGACTCAGTGCCATAGGATATTATGGAGGCTAAAAGCATAAGTAGCTTCAAAATAGATTAGATAAAATCTAGAAGAATAAATTCCTCAGTAGTTATTAAACATGACAGCCTGGACGCCCTCTCTAGCTGTTAAAATCCTAACTGCTGAAATGAAGTATCATTAGAGCAATCAATACACTTGCTCAGACTTCTGTATTTTGATGTAAGCTGCAAATAGTCACTGTTGGAGGCAGAAAGCTAAATCAACCAGACCTTTGGGCTGACCTAGTAAAGCAGTTTACGTAACATGAACAGCTTGTTTTTGTAAGAGTAGAGCAGTACTGCTTGACTGGACTTCTAATGCCTATATTTAAACTAGAGAACCACAAAATCACACAGAATCACAGAATGGTTGAGGTTGGAAGGGATTCATAAGATGCAACACAAAATTTGGACTGTATACCTTGTAGAAAAAAAACCATTAATGTAATTAACTAAAACACAGCAGGTTCCATCTGAAAATAAAGAAACATGTTTTCACTGTGAGGGCGACTGAGCACTGGCACAGGTTGCCCAGGGAGGTTGAGTCTCCATCCTCAGAGACAGTCAAAAGCCATCTGAACATAGTCCTGGGCAACTGGGTCTAGGTGGCCCTGCTTGAGCAGGGAGGTTGGACCAGATGGTGCCTGCCAACCTCAACCATTCTGTGATTCTTTGAATTGGTGAGGGAGAGAGCATATGGGCTCTTTCCTCCCTTGAGAGTTTCTAGGACAGAAAGTGTCATTAAAAGGCCTGGCCATTCACTTTCTCCACAGCAATTCAAGGATGCAAAAGTATTAGAAGTCTGAGAATCATATGGTGGATATTCAAAAGTGGTCTGATGCCCAACAGGGCATCTGGCCCCTTCGTAACTGTGATCCAGAACAATACTGAGGGAGAACATCTTCTTTAAGAAGGAGGAAGGATGTCCTGGGCTCTTCGTGTCTGTCACAATGATGAATAAATCCACCCTCCTGCTCATGTTTACGGACAGGAGATGATGGAACAGGAACAGAGTTGAATGGGAGGGAAGAAGGTCTCTGCTAGGTGGAAGTGATTATGAAATCATCATCTAGACAGTAAGTGTTACTTCCAGGTGATATTTTGTGATCTTTTCAATTACTTCTCCCCACCCTCCCTGTACACCTGGGACAAAAGCAATAATTTATTTTTAAATTTCACAGAGTAGGATTAATTCAGTTTAAAGCCAGCTACTGATCTTTTAGTGAACTAGTTTATTTTGCAATTTATTTTTATTTTATTATCCTAAAGAGATGGCAAAACTAAGCATTTAAATAATAAACATAGTCCCAACGTAGTGGAGAACTGCATGCATAATCCACAATTTGAAAATGTAGTCTTCTGTATCAATGCATGAAAATCACTGCTATTGTACTAAGGCAGTATCAACACACAATATTTGAACAAATGGATGTGTTATTTATAAAGCTGTATCAGCTATCTACCTATACACACACACACACACACACATTGATTACACAGAATAGAGGGAAAGGGTGAACTACAAAATTATTATCCTATAGAATGGCTCTGCAGTGTCATAAACCAGGGTAAGAGATAAAAAACACCAAGACCATTCAATGGAATTGCAGCCTAATTAATGCTGTACCTGTCTTATATTTTTATATAAAAGATGTCAAAGAAAACATCTTAATTTTCAAATTATGTCTAAAAGGTTTGTTTTTAAAAATATCTCCCAATGGCCTTTTATCTAAAGCCTGCATCTCAAGATGACTTGGTGTGCACTCTCTCCCATTTGTCAATATTTACAATGAAGCACTTGCAAAATCTTTTATTCAGCAAGCTTGATGTAATTCTTCCGACTACAGAGAACTAAAGTCCTTCCTGTGAGTCTTGCACGTTTGCTTGTTTGCTTATAGCAAATATTTTCCCAGTTAAAACCGTGAAAATAGTAAAGACACAGCATTTAACCATTAATTGCCTGGCTGAAAGTCGTATTAATGTTAGCCAATTGCTAGTCCATACATTCATACCTTTCAAACAAAATCATGACAAACATTTTTTTTTTCGCTAGATAACTAAAAGTAATAGTAGAGGCAAAGTAAAGCAATCTCAGTTACTGAATGGCTAGAACAAGGAACTGAGCTTTTACTGCCAAACTACATTTCTAGCCTCCAGTGCCTATTAGCCATATTACTTCAGAGGAGCCTTTGTCCCTTCTCAGCCTCATTTTCTCCCCTTTCAAAGACCAATACTGACTGCAGACATTTATGGGATGTTCCAGATAAAACATTTAGTAAGAAAGAAATAGTTACAGATATTATAGGCACATACAAGGCATCACATTCAAATACTGTAACTACTATCGACAATAATGCAATATTTACAAAATGTTTCTCCCTTTTTCATTAAGCATTCTATTAGGCTACTCTGCCTGCCTGAACTGTGATCAGCTAAGAAGTTACAACTTACTAAGAACATCTGAGTGGATTAAAATATCAGCCTATTTCAGTACAAGATTGAAAAAAAAAAAAAGGAAATGAAGGACCTGCTGAAGGAAGAAGTAATCAGAGTAGCGATGGGATGACTTCTGGTATCATTTGGCATGCAAACAAATGGTGGACATGCAAAACAGATTGATGAATATCAATGACAAGCCATCATAAAGCATGCAATTTTGTTACAATAATCATGATTTGTAACCATGACCCCAATGGTCTTCTCTGTCAAACAAAATATTAAATATCTATGAAATATTATTCTTACTTAGTACTACTTCTCTAACAAAATTAGCAATTCAAATACAAAGTATTAGAAACACTCTATACCAAAGCTAAACAGTTTTGAATATAAATTTAATTTTTTTGAAGGAAGAAATTAGTAGAGAGGGGACAGGAGTCCCTAAAGAAGAAAAGTCAGCTGCAAACAAAAAATACAGGTTTGTATTAGTAAAAACTATTTCTAATATAACCACTAGGTGGAAATATTGTACTTACAGTTGGGGATGTGGCTGCTGACAGCAGTGGTAAAATTCCTCCACAAGCAATAATAATATTGTCTACCATCTGGGAAATGAGGTGTATTGTGTTGTGTACAAAAATAATATTTTCATTGCTATTGACGAAGTCCATCACAGACTTTGTGGAGTGACTGCAAGAACAGAAGAAAGGATGGATTAAAGCCAAACAGTTAAAATAGAAGTTTAGATAAATCTATTATTTGCAATCAGACCATGAATGCTTATTTGATATAAAGGCAAACTCTGTTCTGCAAAATTATGAATGTAAATTCTTTAAAAATATGAACGGGACTAGTTTAATGAACAAATTGATTGCTATCTGTTTTCACACCAGAATTAAGTGTCAGATATGCAGTTGAGAACAATAGCTTGTAACCTTTTATTCCCATCAACCACTACCACTTCATAAGCAGTTCTGCTGAAAGTAGTGGGGTTGTTTCTTCAGCATGAAAGTTATTATTTGATATTAAGAGTTCACCATACTGCACCAGTGCCATTTGAAGCACCCTTGATAACACCTAATGATAACACCTGCTAGTTTTTTAACAGAGAAACTTGATGATATGGTGATACCATGTTCTAATATTAACTTTATTACCTAATATTAGTATTAGCAATAGCTTTGCAAGTCACAGATGCTAATAAGACTAGCTGAAATCTCAGCAATTCCTAACTGATGAGAAATTGTCCCATGAAACAGTCACTCTCCAAAAATATGAAACACTGTGTGAAAATATTGAGGAACACCCAGTCTGTAAGTATGTTATTTTCCCAAAACAATATTGTTGCCAGCCAGTAAACAAAAATTCAACTGAATTGTAAAGGCTTCAACTGAAAATATACAAACTTAACTTTAATCTCCAAGCATTACCTAAACACAAAGTACAAACCCGTCCCACATATTTGGTCAAAAAAATTTATAAAAATTGTCTATTTCCTACTGACTATCACAGAACAGTTCACCAAACTCGAAATTAAATGCAATATAAATTGGTCCTTCAGTATAACTATGCTCGAGTTTTCTGAAAATGAACTATTCTGTCCTGGAAATTAGATTAAATAGTGTCTATTATGCCTACAGGTATTGATAACAATAAGTTATTAAGTATCTCTGTTAAAGTGTACAAAAAACCTAGGAAATCACATTGCCATCATAAAATATAACAAAAAACACCAAGACTAACTAGAACCAGGAGCTGAAATAAATTGAAAAACACAGCCTTAGCAAACACTAAGTCTTCCTCACATCTGAAACCGAAGTAGCAGATTTTTACCCTAAACAGAAGCTGAAAGAGCAGCTCAGTTTAGCTAGGTATGTATGAGTTATACAATCCCTCAAGAAAACAGAAATTGCTACCTGTGAAATAGAGCTGTTACAGGCTGGGAAGGGGTGAAAAGGAAAGACACAAGATACAGAAGGGCACTTTTTTTTTTCCCTTCCCACTATCCCAGTAACATCCTCGCTACAACGCATCTAATTTTTTCTCATTGGTGGAAACACAAAACAGGAGTTAAAGCAGAAACAACCACCTACCTTCTCCAAACATGTACATCTGTTTCTAGTGCAAAAAGTAAGTCTGTCAGGAGCCGCTGGTGCATGGGAGACCACTTAAACTCTGGAATACGAAACATAGTTGTGCGTGGACCTGGACTAAACTGTCGTCGTTGCTCTTCTGTCATGGGCATTCCTCGAAATCCCAAGTCAACACGTAAATCCCGGTCTTGCTGGGTGACAGAACGACCCTGTACCGCCTGCATCAACAAGAAGTTAAAAAATCACATTCAATTTTTGCAATGTGTTTTTTGAATGGATCACAGAATTTGAGAAAGGATGGACTAAAACTGTACTTGAGCACAAACTACAGGAGATATTGAGATTCCAAGGCAGGCAGTATCCTTCAGTAAAGGAGCTGCTCCAATTCAAATCAATCAGTACTAAGGGTCTACAGTTGGCCTTCCTTTCAGATGTTCACCGTTGTTCCACACGTGGGTTCTTCACTTGAAGTATTGCAGAAGAGACCAAAGGCAGTACAAGGTCAGCAGTGACAAGACTTTGCTTATATAAAAAAAATACTCTTTTGTGCTGATAACACAATTTTCTTTGAATATTTGACTCAAGACATGGGGTTTGAAGCCCAGTGAGGGCTTCAAGGAATAAGTGTACTTTTAGACAGTTGCTCATTTTCCATAACCAATTTATTTATTTGGTCTTTTTAGCAGGATCATTAGAAAATCAAAACTAGTCTCCCAAATCTAATTTTGCCGATTTTGTTACACTTTGTTCATTGGTTAACAGTTATGGATCCTCAGGACATTCTTTAGATCCTCCCAACAGGTGGTGGATGTGAATTTTATTCCCGTTCAATATTTACATAGTCATAACTGCTTCCACTTGTTGATTAAACACAAAAGTAAAAGATGCACATAAAAGATAGGAAATACTGGGAGGGGAAGAGTAGTAAAGAACAAACATTTTGACTGAATTTGAGACAAATATTTGTAACAACAAGATTACCTGTAATGTGCAACATCTCTGAAAAGAAGAAATACTAAGTCTGATCCTTGAAATTATTTTTAAATTATTTTAGATTAGCTTCAAACTGTCAAAATAGAAAATATACTTTCTTTGCTCACATATTCATCTTCTGATCTCAGTGTACTGTTTTAAATACGGACATTTAAAGGCAAAAAGAAACAGACAAAATATTTCTGCTAGCAATGCAAAAATGGAAACGGCACTGGATTTGAGCTGGAAAGCTTCTTAGATCTTTAGTCTGATTTTGATCTTCCATAGCCAGCATTTCAAGAGCCGAGCAAGATTCCTTGCTCATTCAATTTGACCTACTAGGACAAAAATTGTTACTGTTGCTTTCATTTACTATGTTTTTTTTCTTAAAATTATCTTTAAATAATTATTCTATTTTCTTCTTAGGCTTACCTAAGATTTGAACTCTTGAATGAATCTGCTGCAGTGTGCTGTCAACTCTATTTTCAGTCTTTCATATTTGGGACCATAGGAAAGAGTTACTTTTATATTCATCAATATTTGATTGACTATTCATAGAGACATTAACTCTTAGAAGTAAGCAGGAGTTCCCATCTCTACTTTGATGTATAATTTGATGCTTCCTTTCAGTCCATTTGAACAAAAGACAGCTTGCTTCTTACTGTAAGGTAGGGAGCTGATTGTAGATAGCTTTTTATAGTATATGAGGGTAGTAATCCCATTCACATACTGCTTGTTCCCTTTCAGGTACAGCTATAGGCAGTTGTCATGTCAGCAGCAGCATAACTGTACCGTAACAGAATTCTTTTTATATAGACAATAATGCTGTATTTGCAAGAATTGGCTTTGATATGCATTGCATAAACCACAATGAAACCCAACTAGCTACACTTGGGTGGCCAGTCTTTAAGTAATTTTCTTTGTTTTCAGTAGTCTCAAAGAGATCAAATCTAATGTGTCAGTTCCTACACATGCTGCAATCAAAACTCCCACCTCCATTGCAGACATGTTATCATTGCTCTTTACTTCATGAAAATTATAATCATTGATTTATGTTTTATTTAATACATATTTCCATCTTTTTTTATATTACTGTTAACTTCATTTAAACAGAAAAGAGTTAACTATGGACAGCTAGCAGTTCACAGGGTATTTCAAAACACCCAAAGAAAAGAAGATAACAGCAATTTTGGTGGTCACACAGTTCATAAGTGTTTTTAAGAAAATTATTTAAAAGAGATATTAATGGCTACGGTAGTTTATAAGATTTTAGTGGAAAATAACTGTAATTTAAGTATTATATGGAGAATCAAGGGAGTTAAATAACTTGTAGATTCAGACTCTTGAAGAATACAGTTTGCAGATAATTTGCTGATCCAAAAGATCTGCTAGGAATTTTGTGAGTAGCTACGGGTCAAACATTTAGAAAACATTTTACAAAGATCTGATAAGAGTTCATTAAGAGTTATGTATTACTTTAATCCTAACAAATATTTATAGGCTTAAGGAACCTACATTTTAATAGTTCAACTGTTGTAGGTGAAATTTATCAAGAAAAGGGGTTAAATAATAGAAGAGTCCCAAAGTAATGCCGAAAAGATTTTCTACAGTAGCTAGTACAAAGTCAGATTATCTTTTCATTAAAGATTTATGATACAAGTTCACAGGGTTTATGGATGCACATATGTACATAGCAAACGAATACTAGTATTTCACATATCTTTTACTCTGTAAACAAAAATGCACATTTCAAAATAAAAATTGACTGGTCCTTTTCATGCTCTCCTTCATTCTTTCCCATTTATCAGTTTCCATGGTATTAACAATCTTAATTTTAAGACGTCAAATAAGGTGTTTGGGAACTGATAGGAACAGATACACTATCTCTATAGAGAGCTTTGAGGGCTTATTGTTGATTATTACACATAATGCTTTTAAATATAAGGATACCCACACAATGCTTGATATTCTGCCACTGATGCTATGAGGATTTCTATAGTTTTGAAAAAATACTTACAAGAGAACCCCAAACTTTTCTCATAATACCTGTCTAGGGAAAGCAAGAGCTCCATCTGCTTTTCTCTTCAAAACAAAGGTTCTTAGCATAGAAGACAGACTTAGAAGAGAGTATTCCTTCTCTATGTCAGAACCCATTGCACTGAGTAAATGCCTTTTAAATTTTCTTTTAAAAGAGAATTATACAATCATATAATCATAGAATAGCTTGTGTTGGAAGGGATCATCTAGTTTCAAACCCCCTGCTATGAGCAAGGACACCTCCTGCTAGACCAGGTTGCTCAAAGCCCCATCCAGCCGGGCCTTGAACACCTCCAGGGATTGGGCATCCACAGCTTCCCTGGGCAACCTGTTCCGGTGCCTCACCACCCTCACAGTAAAGAATTTCTTTCTAATATCTAGTCTAAATCTGCCCTCTTCCAGTTTAAATCCATTACCCCTCATCCTGTCACTGTTTGCCCTTGTAAAAAGCCCCTCCCCATCTCTCCTGTAGGCCCCCTTCAGGTACTGGCAGGCTGCTATTAAGTCCCCCCAGAGCCTTCTCTTCTCCAGGCTGAACAACCCCAACTCTCTCAGCCTCTCCTCATAAGGGAGGTGCTCCAGCCCTCTGATCATCTTTGTGGCCCTCCTCTGGACCTGCTCCAACAGCTCAACATCTTTCTTGCATTGGGGGCCCCAGAACTGGACACAGTTCTCCAAGGTGGGGCCTCCTGAGAGCAGAGTAGAGGGGCAGAATCACTTCCCTCAACCTGCTGGCCACACTTCTCTTGATGCAGCCCAGGATCCGGTTGGCCTTCTGGGCTGCAAGCACACGCTGCCAGCTCATTTTCAGTTTTTCATCTACCAACACCCCCAAATCCTTCTCAGGGCTGCTCTCAAGCCATTCTTGAGAAAGTATCTGTTTTGGAAACCCCAGGTTCTTTGAATAAATTAAAATGTCCATCCACTGGATTTTTTCTGAATGTATTGTCTCCCTGAAGAACAAAGCAGGGAGGCTGATCTGTGTTCATCTATCAGATGACACGTACTTTGAATGTACTGGAGTGTGTATCTGAAACGCTTTCTTCTGACAATTTGGTACACACTACACAGTACCGGGCAGAGCAATTTTTGCAATTTTTGTTCGTCTCTTCTTCCATAGTTTCAGAAAATCTGCTTGATTTTAAAATCCTAGAAAATACACACTGGTGTACATGATGGACATATAGCCAGCTAGTTAAATCTTGAAGGTAGTCAATTCTTTCACCTGATAACACCCTGAAAAGCAATCTTTGATTATGTGCTACAGTCTCTGAACAATGTTACGTGAGGAAATGAATTCTGTGCTTTAAAAGTTCAAAGTGATCTTGCATTTTGCTGTGTATACAGAGTACAAATTCTTTCAAAGAGTAGACTTCTGCCTCAGCTTTCCCATTTTCAAAGTGCTATGGCTCTCACAAAAACAATAATTTTTCAGAATTTTTCAGAGAGAGACCTAGACAAGAAAGGATCTCCAACAAGGAAGCAGATACTCCTCCTTTTATTAATGATTTCTGGCCTGGAAACGAAGCCTCAATTTTCCTTCTATTATGTCTAAACTATTCCTTGTCTTGTGTTAGGATCAAATATGGAGATTATTTGTGCCAGTATTCCTGTGCGGGAAGAAAGACAGTGTGCTGAAGTGCTGTAAGACTACACTCTGAAAAAGGTACAGCAAGAGTAAAGAACACTTCAGCGTGTGTTTCATAGTAAAATATAGATATTTCTAATCTTAAGGAATACTAACAAGACAGTATAAAGCAGCAGTCTAAAAGTATCAGCTAATTTGTCTACAAGAACTAAGGAAAATGGATGTGGGATTCTCTTGGCTAAGTTTTTTTAAACTAAAGTATCCACAATTGCAATACATATTTTCTATACCAACATGAAAGACTCCACAGTCCTTACGCATGTCATGGCATTTTCAAAGCAAATAGGCTCGGAGGATGGACACCTTTCATCTAATTAAAGAAATATACTTCAAACATCTCTCAGGTCTCATAGTATTAATTTATCCAGCAGCAACGAACAGTGATTACATCAGACACATACATGGCTACAGCACTTGAAACTTACTTGGGTTGTGGTAGTTGTCTGGATCTTCCTTATCTCCTTTCCTGCTTCCTTACCATCATCAGATCTTTCTGTATCTGATATTGTACTTCCTGCATCAACACTAGGTACAGTTTTACTACCAGAAGACTCTGTCTCAAGAGTTGTGGCAGTCATTTCAGCATATTCTAATCCTTTAGATGATGAAGCCAATGCCCTCTCAGAAATGCTACTCATTCCATCTGAAGTTGTGTGAATCTTGAACTCTTTGTCCTCTATTATACTTGAAGCACAAGTTATATCTACACTACCTGTCATATGTGCAAGCAATCCCAAATCATCATTTACACCAAGATGCATCTGTGTCTCTTGCACATTTGGAATAGAAATGTGATTACTTGAAAGTTCAGGTAGAAGTTTCTCCTCTTGACTAGGTATTTTATCAAAGAGAAATGAGGTACTGTTAGTAGAAGGTTCATCTTTCTCATCAGCCAGAGTTATTAATGGACCATTATCTTTTTCTTCATTCTTCTTAATAATACCCACACTTCCATGAACATTGTTTTGGAGCTTCTCAACAGCAGCACTATATACATTATCTAGAAGAGATTCTACCTCTACAAGTGCACCATTTTCTCCAGTTACCAGTGTCTCTGGTGATAAATCCATATCATCAAGTTTTACTTCAGTAGCTTCTACCTTTTCAGCTTTTATATCAACTAAAAGGTCATGAACTTCCACATGCACTCCTCCTCCTGGTCTCTCAGCACTTCCAAGCACATCATCTGACACCTTTGTAGCCATGAGCAAGTCCCTCGTATCTGTACTGACAGGGTAATCTGTTTCACTTTCCGGACTTTGGCTTTGTGAAAGGTCTTCTATCTCTTGAATTTCCATTCCACCTTTTGCTCCTGTTGTCTGAGAGGAAAGACCTGAGATAGTGCTCACGTTCCCTTTCTTCCCCTTTTTTATGTTTTCTTCCTCTTGCCTTTGATACTCTTCATACATTTTTGCTAGATACTCCTTGTGAGCCTCATATGTGACCTTAAAAAGAAAGAAACAGATTATGTGGATGAACATATGCTACACGAACTTGGACAAAACCTAACAAGAATCTTAACAACACATTACATACAGATCACAAATTGTTTCACAGCAAAGGACCTGCAACGATGACTAAGAAATGCCACATTGACACGCATGGAGATAGCCACCAGATGGCACTAAATCACTTTACATCTCATTTTACTAGCTTGCTAGTACCTTTGAGGGAGATGCCAGTATTAAAAAAAACATCCATGAGCCATTTCTTACCTTGGAATGAGCTATAGAAAGAGTATCCACCCACACTCTCCAGCCTCCCCATTCATATTTTATTGCATGATACAAGAGAATACGGAAAATGTTGTAAACCATCTCTGTGATCTTCTGCTCTTCAGAGTTCTTAGGGTTAATGTATCCCAGAGAAAACATCCAGTCCTGCCACACTGAACACTGAAGTAAACATCTAAAGTGAAATAATTAGGTCAAAATATATCCATACAAAACTGCTTTATTTTAACATTATGATGGTTAAAGTAGGAGGAAAATAATACGGTACATCTCCTCTGAACATCAATCCAATGTTAGGCAGAAACTTAAAAATACTTCAGGATGAATAAAAATTTTAAGTATATTCTAAACAGAAGAAGCCAATATTAGTTGCTGGAGTAAGAAAAGTTACCACAGACCTATTCAATTTATTTTTTATATATTCCATTTAATATATAGCATAAAACTCTACACAGAGTACAACAGATTGCTATCACCCACAAGTCAAGGATGAGAAAATACTCTTTGTAGTGACATACCTTCTGTTTTCACGGCTATTACTAAAGAGTTTTATCATGTCAGATAAGAACAAACGTCGAACTTCCATCAGCTCTGCACTTGGCGTGGAGTTTTTTAATAGTGTTGCCACCACCTTAAGAATCACTTTGAAAGAATACATTAGTTACATAACACATTTGAAAAATATTTAAAAAAAAAAGTTGCTGACAGCAACTAATGCAAGTAGTAACTGAAACCCATATGTATTTGAGATACACTAATGAATTGTTGCTGCTTACTGAACCATATTCTTACAAAAAACCCCACAACTTCAAGGCAATATATTTATTATACAAACATAATATATTGTTCTTACTTGGATTCTGAATTTTCACCGTAGAATCTGGCTCTGGGTGTGGTTTATGAACAACTTGAGTGCATACTTGTTCTGTCAAAATCTAAAACAGAATATTAAGTTCCTTTTACTATTTTTTATTTAAATTCTACAGTATTTCTAAGTTCATTTTAAATTTGTTAAGAACATTTACTATGGCCACACTATAACTTCATGTAAAACATTTTGGTACAATATTTTTATTCTTGAAGAATGGAAACAAGCAATTCCTCTATGCAAGGATCAAGATTTTCACAGATGTACCCTGGCTGGTTAACTAACTTCTTAGTTAGGTGACTAAATATACAGTAATGGTGTTTTAAAGATATTTCATTCATAGTCCTCATAGTGTTATACATTCACAGATCAAAAATTCTTTCATGAGCACTATACATCAAAAGTTATTCTCATACATTCCACCCACAACCAAACCCAGTACTTCTTAAAAGTCACTTTGGTTTATTCCAGCTCAGAAAGAACAGTCACAAACAGCATTCCCTAAGAATAATCCTGGGCCTTCACATAATGAGCAAGAGAGATCATTCTGCTGGTTCATGAATTGTATCTGACAAATAACTTGTATTGAAGCAACACCTCAGACCTTTCACACTGGTATACTTGTCACTGGTTCTATGAATTCAAATTTGTTTTTAAGACAAGCTAAAGATTTAACAATATTAACACGTGATTCTCAATAAGTTTATTCAAGCAAATGTCTTTCAAAATAGAATCATTTCACTAGTGATTTATTTTAAAGCAGCAATTTAGCTCATTCATTAATCAATAACCAAACTAACGTGAGTCGTAAACACAATATCATTGAATGGGTCTTCACATATTGGCATTTAAAATAGAATGCAAATATGCCTTTGCTTTTTATGAGAGAACATGGAAAATACGTGCATCAGTTCCTCAGCAATTTTTTTGCACTTATGGCATTTAATTCTTTTTTCTCCTTCTATGGCTATTTTTTTCCCACATAAATGTCTGTGGATGCTGCACTCCATGAAGACTTCAATTTTGTCACTGAGTTACATATTTTCTGAGAATACCAATCACAGAAGCTCTCAAAAACCTGCATGCAGGGACATCTAGACTGTGAGACCCAAGTGGCCAAATCACACAGGGTAAGCTTAGATATGTGCAATAAAAAATAATGTCTAAGTCATTAGCAAATAGATGATGCTTAGGTTTTTACAATCATAGGAGAATATTTTCTACATCACTCAGACTCAGAACCCTAAACATCTGAAATCAGTACTCAGTATCTAGCCATTACAACTATTTGTGACTAAAAAAAAATTAAAATAAAATAAATAAATATTTCTAGTGCATAAGTTCCTCAGAAATTGCAAAAGGCTCAGTTCTACGTCACCGTTTTAAAAATAAATGAAGATTGGACATGATCTTCATGCATTTGCAGGCATGAGGATGTGGGTTTTGACCAACTTGATGTTGACAATCTTTTGCTTTAACAAAATTGTTCATAATCAAAACTGAAGTTTCTACAAGAGCCTGGTAGAACAGTTGAATGCTTTGAGGTCATACTCACTCGCCTCAAGCAGTATCTGTTACATAAAAGTGGCTGTGTTCAGTTATCATTTTGGCATTACTAGTTTTAAAACAAAATAAGCATTTTTCAAAATTTTGCAAACTTGAAAGGAATGGCACAAAAATAAAAACAGAAAGAAAGAAAGGCACCTCTTTGGCTCCCGCACTTTGCATTGCAATGGAAACAAACTCCTCCAAACAATGAAGGAGCAAGAGCACTTGCAGGTCTACAGTAACTCTTTTTTTGTGTTTTGTTTTGTTTTTGTGGAAAGTGATGAACATCTTAAATAGCAGGATCTTTTCCATTACACTTTGTAATGCTATAAGTTGAAAGCTTTATAGAGGCTATGTAAAACCTATGACATTGTCAATAAAAATATCCAAAGCAGGGCAAAATACATTCTAAACCAACAAATCCTTTCTTAAAACTTTCTATCTAAAATTTTCTCAAAAGTCTTGAGAATGAGGATATTGTAAAGCACAGAGTCACAACAATGTAATTAAGTCATATTTTTACAATAGAGATGATAATCCCTATGTTTAATAATTTGTACCTCATAAAGTGTGTTATATGTTGTAACTGTCACTGTATTTGTATGCAGCATCAACCTTTCCCCAAGAAGAGTGAAAAGACTGTGAGTATGCATGATTTCAACCTTTCGCCTGGAAGAGAGAATAAAAACATGAGGAGAATGCCAAGCATGTTGAACATTTTAAGTAAATGCAAAAACTGCTAAAGCCAAATACTTTGATGTTGTACTAAAAACTTCTAAAACTTGTTATTCTGTAAATATTATGAATTAAACATCATTTAAGATCTCTCCCAAGATGAACGCAATTGTAGTAATACACAAAGGTTCAAAAGTAATACATAAAGCAATGCTGTATTTGGGATGTGCTTTTGTATAAAAAAAATCACACATCGTTCTCGCACTTCATGATTTTCACAGTGGGAAAGGACAAAGGAGTCCCTTTCTGTCTTACTCAGGCTGGGAGACTCCAAGAGCTGGCTAAAATGTCATAACTTCAGAACATATCTATTGTCGTTCTCTCAAGGACACAGGACAATCCAATCTCAGATCTTCGAACATAAATACTAACACATACAGACTTATCAGTACTGCCATTCTCTTTATATAGCATTCTCTCATGCAGCCAAAATAATAAAGTCCCAAAATAACATATGTTACAATGCAAAGGAAATAAAATCTTGAAAAATTATGAAATTCCAAGTGAATTTTATAGCTAGGATCAAAAACTCAAATCTTAAAAAGGAGAGAAGAAAGCAGTTCACATCAGTGAATTCCATCTGTCCCAAAACACTACTCTTTCAAAATTGGATATGACATCATAAACAGAGTACTTCTCATAAATTGCTTCATTAAATTTATCCACTACTGTAATGAATATGAAATAAAAACATTATTCAAAATAATTACTAATCTCTATTAAAGCACCAGAAAAATATGAAATAAGATAAAATACAGTAAAGTTGCTGTACAATTTATGCATTCGAAAGCTAAGAAACTCCCTTTTCATGATTACTGATGATAATAACAGAGGTTTGAATTACACAGATTCATTCTAGAACTTCTGAAATTAATATATTATATTATAATTTTCAAATAACCACAAAACAGAGTGGCAACTGCTTATACCAGTGTGTACTCTTCTGTGCACAGAAGAGATTTCATGAGCTACTGATGAGAAAAACTACAGGTATTAAACACTGTGAGCTATGATGTAGCACATGGAAGTGAAAATTAATTGGAAGGTCTAAATGTGCAAATAGTGCACTATGATTTCAGTGGTGGCATAGAAACAAAAGATGTCAGAGAAGGAAAAGAACAGGATTTTGCCAACTGTTAGGGTTAGACAAAGTAGTCAACCATCTCAGATCACAAAAAAAAAAAAATCAATTAAGCTATTCAGGCTCTCATCTAACATGTTACTGGTTGCTTCTGCTAAGAATCAATTACCTCCCCTCTATAGCTTAAACTGTGATGAATATATATGAACTACAGCAATGGTAACTGGTTTTGTACCTACACATTTGTTATTAATAATGGTTCCTGTTTCATAAATCCCATTATAACATCTCTTCATGCAATTCTAATGTAGTGTATTAAAATACAACTGCCTCTCGTACTGTGAAACAGAAATTTAAGGGTCTTATAATTTTATGTAGTTTATAATTTTATAATCACTTATAATTTCCTGTAGTTGACTACAATGTTATAAAATCAAGCACAAGGACACATGTCTATGTGCACAAACAGGCACACTTCACAAGTGGTAGCTGTAAGATACAAAAAGGGCAGGAGAGAGGGGCACTTTTACTTGCTGAAATGTACATAAAATGTGAACATTTACAGATGTTTGGAGGTCTGAAAATTTAAAAATAACTTTGAAAGTTACAGAGAATATTCAAGTGGATTTCAATTACTTCATTTACAAGAAAAATAAGTTATTTAATTTTGTGCTAAGTACATACTTTCACTCAGCAATGGCAGCTGATACGTCCATAATTACAAGAAGACGCTAAGGACTGGAAAATTAAATTTCAGCTTCTGAAAATTCTCACATTTCTTTTTCTGTAATGTTTTACAAGACAAACAGAGTTTGCCACTTGATTTACTAAATAAGCAATAAATATTTTAAACAAATATACTTATTTTGACACAGCCAGGCTTCTGCACAAGTCAAACCTACATCTGGTGTATCTTAATCCTACTCCTATCAATGTGAATGATTTATAGTAAGTAATGTTTGAAAAGCCCTTGGAGATTCTTGAGTGGACTATCAATTTGCCTTAGTAATTCCCAGAATGCTATTTGGCTTGCTGGATCCCAAAAGAAAAAAACCATTTGGGAGCATATTCTCAGCTTAGTGCCTCTCAATTACAGTCATACTTTACTGATCTTACTGAGCAAAGCATGTCTATCAATACCACACTTTGGCTGGACTCCTAGCTCCTTTCCCTTCTAAGGAGGTCTTACATGATGAAGTCGCTTGTGAAGCACACAGTTGATTTTTGTACTGCACAGTCTCCCACTGGAATATTGTTGTGGGCTAACCCTGGCAGACAGTTAAGCACCACATGGAGGAGAGGAAAAGTGAGTAGCAGCAGGTTACACAGCACTGCATACTTTTTAATTCTTTCTTAAGACCAAAATATGGAAGATGAGATTAAGTACGTCTATTTTGTGACACCAGTTCTTTTTAAATGTGAATATTTCTTGCTGCCACATTTTATATGTGACCATTTCTTGTACAGAGGTATGTCCTTACCTCCTTTTTTAATGATCTTTTACTTAGTCTGTTTGATTTTCCTTCCAAAACTTTCCCATGTGAATAACATATTCTTCTATTTCATTTTTCCCATCCTCTTAAAGCTATTTTTAAAAGTATTGCCCTGAAACTTTTATTGCAATGACAGTGAAAATTCCAGCAACAAATTTTTGATGACACTCATATGTTTGCCATTATCCTTAGCTGAACATATAATATACATTTATAAAATGTATTTTTGGAAAATGTTTTTCAATCATTTTAAGACTTGAATTTCAGCATAAGATATATTTGGCAGACAATCACTGTATGTTGTCAAACATTATAGGAGTTAACTGGAAAATTAATTTTATCCAAATGTATGAAGACACAAATTATTAATCAGGAAACCTAACAATTTTAAGTAATTTCTACAGATTGTCAAAGAATATACAGTAATCATGACAAAAAGACAAGAATAATTGAGAACTTAAATACATCACTATAACAATTTTAAAACTACACTTACTTATGACCCAAGTGTTTAAGAAAATATCCAAGGACCTTCAAAGCTTGCACCCATATACTCTCACTTTTGGAAGCCAATAATTTATAAATTACTCTAAAAAAGAAAAACAAATTCGACAAGTTTTTTTCAGTTTATTAGTAAACATCCCATATATAGATTGCATTTCACTGGACAGGGATATTTCTTAATAAATAAAACTATAAAAATAGCAATTTACACAAAATGGAAGGATATACTGAAAGCACCAAACACAGCACAAGAGTCTGATTATGAATTCCTTAGGTTGGAGACGTGATGTCTTTTGGTTCACTTCAATGTTTTATAACAAAAACCGACAACCTTCTCTCATACTTCTATCTTGGAACAAATAAAAGACAGTTAGAGCAGTTGTAGCTTAAGACAAGAGAAGCAGATTGGAGCACATAAGGTCACTCAATATCCTTTCCACACAGGATAGGGTACCTGCATTTAATCACAGGATGTTTATACTGAAATCTCATTTGTCAAAAGTAAAATATGGCAATATGTTACACAAAATCCCATATACACCTATGAAGCTGCATCCTCATTGCATCAAAATTTGAAGTAGAAAGAAAATACAACCAATGTTTTTAAATCCCAGATAAAAAGGGTGTCAAAATTTACCTAATTTAATTGATTAATTATTTTATTAATATGATTGGTTTAAACACAAATTCTACAGTCTTTCAGAAAGGAGACTAGTCTTGATTTGAAGACACCAAGAGACAGAAAACATTAACCTTCACCTGGACTGTTCGTCAACAATTTTTGAATCTGTAATTTAGTTTCTCATTTGAGTTAGATGAGCCTCAGCTTTCAGCCACTGCTTTTAGTCTTCCTCCACTAAAGAGTGCTTTAGCAGACAATATCTTTCTCTTTTGAATGAACTTAGGCCATTACCAAATGTCCTCTGAGGCTTTTGTCCTTTGATAACCTAAGCAGACAAACACCTAATTCTACATGAGGCATTCTTTTTGAACATTTAAAAATGGCAACTCTGTGCATTCTCTCCACTTTTTCAGCACAGACTTTTAAACACAGAGGCTGAACCATGAAACAGTTTTAATATTGGTACCACAAATGTTACATAAAGATGTCTTAATTCCTCTAGATCAGTCTTACTCTTCTTTGAAAGGTGTCAGGAACAGAATTCTGTCTCAACATAGACAACTATAGGTAGAAAACAAAGTTCTAACTGTGAGTACGAGTCTTCCCTTGAAATAGCATTGTTACTCAAACAGTTTTAAATACAAGTATTTGCATGAAGATCTCAGCATTTTGGCAAAACGAAGCTTGAATTTATCAGGTAGTAGATGTTCCCCCCTCCCCTTGTTTTACAAGCCCCTTGCATTTTACTGTGAGGGTGGTGAGGCACTGGAACAGGTTGCCCAGGGGAGTTGTGGATGCCCCATCCCTGGAGGTGTTCAAGGCCAGGCTGGATGAGGCTTTGAGCAACCTGGTCTAGTGGAGGGTGTCCCTGCCCATGGCAGGGGGGTTGGAACTCAATGATTTTTAAGATCCCTTCCAACCCAAACCATTCCATGATTCCATGATTCTACAAAGTGTTTTCAGAATCACACAAAATAAAATTCTATATTTAGAAATATGGTAAATTTATGATTTAGTAAACACTAAATCATTAACATGAAAATTCATAATCTCTGAAAAAAATTGCATTACCAAATTAGGCATAAGTAAACAACAGAAATACGGCTTCTTTGGGAATAATCAGTTATTAATTTTACTGTCAAACAGATGAGCATATGAATTCCACAGATAGTTTTTTTTTAATCTTTTCAGAGAGAATTCGAGAGGTTAGGGCACAATTTCTCTTATTTTCTTCTTCTTCAAATTATGTTAAACATCTGAAGACAGAATATTCAAAATTATTGTGAGACAGATACTTGGCTTTTTGATACATGTTGTTAATTACATATTCTATTTGAGACTGAGAATCAAGTACATCAGTACATTTACCTTCGAATATCATAATGATAACCTTAAGCTGAAAATGTTTTCATCCAAGCTATCAAAAACACTATGTTTTTGAAAAAAAAAAAATATAGCCTAAGTTAATAGAATTGCAGTTTGAAAAACCAGCAAGTGTGATAGTCATGTGAAAAAGAAGCAATCTGGAGAGTGATGATACTGGAACTACTGTTAAGATATTTTCTCACTTCACTGTCTTACCGTATCCCATTTCTCTGATCAAAGGCAGGTATCATGGATGCTGGATGTTCGGACATTAGTGCCACTAGCAGCTGCAGCACATCATGAATATTTTCATCCTGTATGACAAGCATCAATGTTATTCTACAAACTCACCTCAACAGTAGGTTTCCCACAGAGCTGCTAAAATTGTTACAGTAAAAGATGTAAATTACAGAAATGTACCTCATGCATTGTTAACAAGTAATTTAATATACTCTGTAGTTCATCTTCTTTCACTCCTCGATCCTAAAAAAAAAAAAAAAAAAAAAAAAAAAAAAAAAAAAAAAAAGAGAGAGGCATTATTCAGAGAAAATAACTTCCTTAAAGTTGGCTCAAGAAAAATTTGGACCAAATCAAATAATCATATAATATTTTCTATTTAATCTCAAAAGACTAAATACTCTCTCACATTCCATTGCTTTTCCTTATGACGTTGACAATTCAAACCAGCATGAAGTCAGCACTGGATTCCTGCTAGCAAGGATCCTTACAGTGTGGGCCCTGAGATCCCATATACTACTACTGCCACTCCCCCAGTCCCTCAAACAGAACAGAAAAACCAGAAGGAATAAGCCAGGCCAGAAAATACTGGCTTTCAGTCTAGTTCAAAGACTAGCATTCAGCTGTAACAGAAAGAGTCCTAGACCATTTCAACCAGTGGCAGAACCAAAAAAAAAAAAAAAAAAACAAACCATAAAGCAATAACTAACTTAACAATTGCCGTTACCTTTTTTATTTGATCAGTCAAGCAACTATCTACTATCATATAGGAAAAGTCCAAATACCTGAAGGTTTCTGTAGTGTCATACACTATTTCTGCAAGTACATTTAACAAAATATATATGACATAGTTTGGTGAGGTCAATAAGAAATATTGTATGGATTTACTGCCTTTATGTTGATTAGAGGTATGTGCATGAACATAAAAATTAACCATGAACAGATTCAATATCTGACAGGTATTATGTATTTACTACTATGAAAGATCCTATTACATGTATATAACAGATCTCAATGTCTTCCATCTGGAACAGACTGTTTTACCTTCAATATAAGTTGTTTCAAAAACAGCAGCATGAATGCCCTTAGTGATATGATTTCTTTCTGTGAGGGCCTAGGACCATCTGGAAGAAACAAAATATACCACTTTTAAACATAAACTAATTCCTTGAATGACTGCAGATTCTTAAGGAAGGCTCTTAAGGAACGTTGCTCTGCAGTATTTTCTGTTCTCCCCTTTCAAAAATACTTAAGGTTGAACTGGAAATTCCTTTTTTAAGTTCCTACTTTTCAAACAATGCTTGTCATAGACAGTCTTAAGTTTTGCACAGTGAAGATAAATGCAGCCTAATTTACTTTTTAATCAACCATTTCATCTTATGCTGATAAACACTTATCAAAGCTTAGTAAACACTGTGTGTCAGTATTATTTCCAATCCAGATGAACACCACTTTTTAATGAAGATTTTTTCACAGTCTCCAGTGCCATTCTTCGAAGTGAAGCCACTGCTGTGCACACAGTAATTCAAGTTTGCAACAAGGGCAAACCTGAAGGTAAGTTATATTTGTTTGACTAGCAGGAACAAAAAGAGTGGTTAATTCTCTCAAGTATTCTTCCTTGTTTAGGTGTGGAGAGAGGACAACTGTGTACTTTTCAGAAAGAGGCAAATAAATCTCAACCTCCCACTACCATTTTACTACTGTAAAAACAGTAAGGATATTGTAAAAAACCTATCATATAGGCTTTAAAGCTATAGCAACAGTTTAATATCCATACATTCTAATGGCACCATGAAACGTCTATTTGCTATTGTAAACACAGAAGTAAGTTGGATTTTTTGGTACTAGCGGCAACTACGTTAAATATTGAATGTGTTTTTAAGGCAATGGTGTGCTTCTAGCCAACAGCTATTTTTTTCCCTAATTCAAATGCAGATTCAACTCTCACTGCATCAAAGAAATCTGTTTCTTCACACACTCTCTTCCCTCCTACGCCTTACCGGTATTCAATATTGGACAAAATTTGAAAAAAAAGGCCTAAAATTGAGGCATTTTGTCTTTTCTGGAAGACTGCAATTATGGAAAGAGAAAACAGAACACTCAGGCAATGGGGAGCTCTGCAAAGCATTTCTGTAACAGAAAGTTTAAGGAGGGATTAAAAAGAAGATATCCCAAATTACCTGGGAACCTGTTCAAAGATACCCAAGTTCCATACTTCTTATTCACATACCCACCAGTTTATCTGGAAATGTGCGAGAACCCTTTTCAGGGTTCTTCAACATGTAGCAGATATCAAAGGAGTTGTTGCTTGCAGTTTATATGCCAAGCAGGCAAAATGATGCTTTTTCCTTCAGTCCTCTAGTACTATTTTCATTGAGTCTTGAAGCTTCACTACACTAGAATCAGAAAAAGGGGATGGCCTCTACCACTAAAAGAGGGCTGGTAGAGAAAAATAAGAGAGGCTGGAGAAACTGGAGGCTATGTAACCAGTAGACAGCTACAAATACTGGAAGAAAGGACTGCAGCAATAGTAATGCAACAGTCATCTGATACAAAGTGAATGGAATTAATCTGGGAATTTGTAAAGCTACATAAAATGGATTTGCCACTATATAAATCATCACACTTTTTGGCTTCATTGCTAGTTGAAGAACTTCATTACTAATTGAATATTTACTTTTAAAGAATGCATTATTGACCAAACAATACAATTTATGCTATAATTAAAATATATATATTATACACATATGTAGTGAGGTAAAGAGAGACAAGTAGATCTTGTTTTTCAACTCAGACATTGAAAAGTAGTTTTCTTTACTATCTATTAATCTTTGTGCCCATGGTGGATATAGACAAATCAGTGTCACCATGACTCAGAAATCGATAAACCACACTGCTAAAGACTAAAACCAAACACAAATCAAATCAACAACAAAGATAATCCTTTTAAGATCCGGTACAGCAACCATAAGGCCCTAATACAAATAGCAATACTCTTGTTAATTGGCAAAGAGAAAGGACGCCTCACTTATCCCACACCAGGATGAGTCACTAAATCATTTCCTGCTTTCAGATTCTTTATGTATGTATTTATTGCAGATAGCACATGATTTGCATCAGAATTTTTTTTAATGTACACTCACAATGAGAGTTAGCCATCTTATCCAGACAAAAATAAATGAAAAAAAATATATCCAATTCATCCTTGCAGGACAGAGCAATTATAGGGGCATAAACTAGAACTAATTAAGAGGGAATGAGTAAACATATTCACAGAGAAAAGTACAGTGCTGGTGTAAAAGACTCATCGGGATCATTGAATAACAAAAATAATAATTTCTAATCCTATCTTTGGAAATAAAATGCTATGTTATCAGTTCTACAAGCAACCAAATGCAACATTCTTCCATCTGGCTTTTTTATGTGTAAAAAGCATGATTTTTCTACTCCTTAAATTAAGAAAATGTGATACAGATAACAGAATCTGATCTCCACGCATATGTAAATAACATCCCATGTTACGTGGATCACAGAAGGACCTACTTTTTTATCTTACCATTGCAAAGCTAATGAGAACTGAGTTCCTTGAAATAACACTTTTTCTGTCCACAAAAAGAAAAACTATAGTTACTTTCTCCTTATAATAATTTTCATAATTCCCCCTTTTTAGTTCATGTTCAAAAATATTGGACATAAAAATATTATTGAAAACTCTATTTAACATTAATTAACTTGGACATTAACAACCATGTGTTCTCTAGCAGGAGGCAAGATACTGCTCATAAAGATCTGTTCAGAGTAAGAGTGGGGAAGCACACAGGAAACTCTAGTAGAGAAAAATAAATGCTTGGACAACGGCTCAAGAATGCACTACACTACTCAGCAGTTTGAAACTTAAATGTATATTTCTCTCATACAACAATGAAGTCACAAGTATTTCATAGGGATGCTCCACAACAGAGTCCAAAATTACAGTTTAGCCCAATACACTTCTGAGAGTTGTTAACACTGAGTATCCTAAGTTATGTTTTCTTAGGAAAAAAAACTTCACAATACTTAGCTTATTTTTCTGTCATTGCCTTCATTTTATGCTTTTTCATTACTGCACCACTGATGGCCCATCAGTATTTTCAAAGAATGTCACGCAGTTGGTAAGTAATTCCAATGAAGATTTTTCAAGGCATGAATATCCTGGTAGGCCCTAATAAGTTCTCTTTTAAATTTACAGAAATTGTAAATCAAATTAATTCAGCAACACTGAGAATTTTTTTTGCAGTGCATAAATGTTTTATTTTTTATTAGAAAGGTTAACAAAGAGAGTAAGCTATCTAACAGTTAGTAGACATCCAGAGATGAAAATTAAAAAGTGTTTAAATTTTTCTCTGAAACTTTGATATTAAAAATATGTGTGTTCGGCCCCTTCTGAAAGACACTCGCAGCTTGGCTTTTTAAAATTATGAGCCCAGTATATATTTTGAAAAGATAAAATATCAAAGAACAAAGACTAGTACCACAATGCTAAGATGTCTCTGGTAGCTTGAAATATTATCATTGAAATGCACCATCTACCACGGGAAGATAAAGAGTTAAATCTTTCCCCACTTATGCTCTTATTCATTCCCCAAATCCACTAAAATAAATAATTACAGAAAGAAATAAAATAATTTTATATAATTTTTACTCGATTGCCTGCTTTGCTGTGTCTTTAGATGCTGCAACTGTTGGGCAACCCTATGGTATTCTGTCTTCACATCTTACTCTGTACGACTTAACAAAATGCTAAAGGCATGCATACAGCAAATCAAGAGAACAGCTATAATCATAGTTCATGTGTAAAATGTAAAATATAATAAAGTTTAGAGATTCTTTCCTATGGAAATTGGTTTGACTTTTTCTGCTCTTCTTGACAGAATTATTTCACAAGTTTTATGGTCTTAATAAAACACGTCACTTTTGTCCTGTCACCTATTTGTAACTGGCAATTTAATTTTAAGAAAACACAAACACAACTCAAAAAAAGAAAGTAAAACTCATAATTTTAAACAGAAAACTTGTCTACAGTCTGTAGGTCTTTATCTAAACTGTAAAACCTACTAAGAATAATTATCGAGCAAGCTGATAAGTATACATTTTGAAAAAGTGTTTCTAATACTTTAGGAGGAAACAAACCAATATGAATTCAGTGTACTGAAGAAATATTAGTTTGAAACAGGAAAGCAATAATGAAAGAGAAGATACAAAACCAAATTTGAAATAAATATTTGAACTTTTTAAATAATTCAAAACATTTACACCTCCTATTTTATAAGCTGAATACCAGGAGAAGCAAGGGGGAAACTTTAATTTGTTAAGAAAACAGGGTTAGCCAAATGGGAAGCTTCAGTATTGAGCCACTTTAGCTTTAAAGAAGGTATACTGAACTGTCAGTACAGAAAACTCACCCACTTTGTGCTTTATTAAGACATGAGAAGGCAATAAAACCTGGAAGCAGAGTAACTGTCTGCAAGTAATAGTAAATCAAACCACTAATATTAAAAAGTGTTTCAGTATCTCTGCATAAAAAACAATACACCTAGAAGACAAGAAAGCATCACACTACTAAAATGTCTCCATGTATAAGCTTACTTTCTAGTATGACAACAAATTATTTCAAGGCACTATAACACATACAGTCAAATTTCAGATATTGGCAAGATTTCCATTGAAGTCTTCTTCAGATCTGAAAAGATTGATGTCAAGTCAGCTTAGAGTTTCAGTGGTCTCTGACAAGGGAATATCATATGCTATTTTCTCACATTATGACATTTTTCTGTTTCTTACAGTAAAATTACTGCTCATAAACAATGGGTCCTGTTCTTTCATTTTGAAATATCAAATGCTTCTTAAAATGCAGCAACTCTAACATTGACATAATTGTATTTTTATAGTGTAAGTTTCTTTTACAAACTTCTCTTTACACATTATTCTACATTTTAACAAATTACACTTTGCCAGCTACGTGTTGCAGTAGTGGCTGTACTCAGGCTAATAAAAGCGATACAAAACCAAAATTTGGAACAGTTAACTTTTCTGAAATACTAGGATCGGTGAAGTTATGAGTTGCTGAAAACAGAGATGGAAAGAAAAAAGCATTAAGCATATTAACTACTGCTACTTGAAGTATTCTAAGACTATAAGCCTGAATCAGCTGCATACCAAATTGGCACACTGTACTTAATGTTAGGAGAGCATCTGGTGAAGAAAAGCAATGTAATATCCAGGTGATTAAACATTTTGAAAAGTTTTCAGGAATTTTATCAATTGAAAGTAATTAACATGAATTTGATAAAAAACTATTATGAAATTAAGTTAATATGAAATTAAATTTAGCAACCCATCACCTCAGCAATTATATTTTCACAGTCATTTGCTTGCAAATCACCACAGTTATTACAGATGTATTAGTCAGAAGCAGAAGCTACCTGTGAAATAATATCAAAAAAAAGTCCTAGTGCTGATTTGCATGGAGAAAATTCCATAGCTATGCTGGATTTTCTCATTCATTGCTATGTCACTGATCTTCCTCCCTGATAAGCTGACATTCTTCAACTCAGTGCAAGGAAAGCCATTTTTACAGACAGGAAAGAGAGTGCTACACAATAGTTTCTTATAGTTGCATCAATTACATGGGACTTTCTGCAGTCTAAGCAACAGGGAGGAAGGAAGAGGATAAGGAACAAAGAAGAAAGCTGAGATTAACCTTTAAAAAAGTCAAGTTTATCTAGAAATCCAACTAAAGAAAAAAAGAAGATAATTCAGATATAGTTGATAATAGTATGTATTTTAAAACTCTCCACGGTCTTCACGGCCTCACAGTTTTTTAAAATGCCTTCCCAACTACTGTTGTAACATAGTAACTTAGTAACTTAGGCCTTAGTAACTGTGATTTTTGTTGTCACACTGCCACACTAAAAAACCAGTATCTGATTACCTTTCAAGGGTCTACCTGGTTGCCTTCCTGAGAAAAACAAGAATATTGTCTGGAACTGACACAAATGAGAAGAGAATAGGTAAGAATGAAAGAAAAGATAGGGAAGTAAAACAGCCATATTTATGCTAATTTAGAGTTAACTGATTCATTTATCATTCCTAATTTAGTGTCCTTGTGTATCCCATGCCTTCTGTGCAGATTTTGATGCAAAATACAATACATTGTATTTTTTCTTCTAGCTGTTCAACTAGCATTACACATACAAATACTCCAAAAATACAGCTAACTGCAGAGAGGCAGATCTGGGCAAGATAAAAACAAGCCATACCTCCTACAGAAAGAAATGTCACACTGTTTCCACAAAAGAGCAAGCCTAGCCAGAGGGAAGTCTGTAATACGCAATACATTTTCAAAGTGTTGTTAGGTACTAGTATCATGACACAGAAGTAGAGGAATTCTTTAATTAAAACCCAAAAACCCACAGCCAAAACCCATAAAGAATTGCAGCAATAGCAAATAGACAATATTCTAAAACTTACAGTCTCAAACTTGTTGAGCAATTTCCCAGGTCTCTAGGTGTAAATATGGTTGACACTTGGAAACTTTACCTCCCAACAGCTGGTCATTCAACAGTCAGAAATACAATGTGCATATTATAAGCTGATCAGCTGAGTTTTTAACATCCTAATTCTTCACTGAGCTCAGATATGGTTAACTTGTCTGATGGTAAAACTGCACCTACGCAGCACGACAGCATGTCCCTGACAAAGTAGAACTCTGAAAGCATGAAGCTGGATAGGGTCAGCCCTAGGGTAGGATTCAGACCATCCTAATTTCAGATGTGTAGAGTATACTGGCCAACACATGAGACCTGCTTCTAACCTTCTATTGAAGACAATGGAAATGTAATCAATGTAGCCAATGGAGTCTAGAAAGCAACTACCTTTCAAACCAGTTCTCTAGGCTCTGTCAACTAGGGGTAGCACACAGATTCCTAAACAGACTTATCTGTATGATTTGACATACCATAAGGTGTCCAAGACACTTACGACAGACCTGGCAAACTTGACACAGGATGGGCAGGACACCTGCATCCTACTGAAAGGCACGTGGGATGCCCCAGAGAGACTAAAATGATGCTAGAAACCCATATTTGGGCAAATGACTCCTGCATTCCAGCTCTATAATCAACAGACATCTAGCTCAGATGGAGACACCTTCATTAGAGGTACCAAAAATGAACTCAGTTCCATTTTGTCAGAGGGAATCTAGAATAAGCGTGAGTGGAAAATATATTTTATCACTGACAAAAATTTCAAGCTCATTAAGTAACCACCACAGTTGATTTTCATAATCTGATACTACAAACTTTTCATTCAAATGAACAGAGACCAGAAACACAGTGTGCTTTTTAAATGCATTTTTAAAGCAAATTTTAATAATTTTATGAAGAATATTGTTTGTCTAATATTATACTATGAGATAACTTTAAATCAGTTCTCAGCTCCAACAGCAGCTCTTTCTGTGAGCTTCACCAAGTTAGAACTTCACTGCCTATTAGGATATGTAACTGAGGACAAGAATTCTTCCATTTTTAGTTAATAAATAAATAAAAAAAACCCAAACCTGAAGAAAGTCTCTATGCATACAGCTCTCTCACAATTGAAGAACTATACAATAACTTATACATGTCACATTCTTAAATATTTGGATATGTGACAGCACTAAAACATCCCCCAATTATTCAATTTCTCAGCATTACAGCAATTATCAGCAAGATTATTAATAAGTTCTCCTAGACTAATTAATTTTTAAGAGACTTTCAGCCAAATCCTCCCTGCTTTACACAAGTAGTCAGCTAAATGTAATGACTTTATGGTTGGAGTGTATAGGATTAAAATGATTTCATGCTCTGGTTATTATACATCTGTTACACGCAGTGATTAGCCTGTATGTATTATTGTATTTTGTTGTTGCTGCCATTCAGTGCTTCCTGAGCTAAGCTAAGCACATGACTATGAGCAAAGTTAAATCAATCTCTATTTTATAACTGTAAAGAAATAAAATATTATTATACTGGAAATAACAGCATCAGAGATCTCAGCAGTGAGAACCAGAAGTTTCCACACTGTTTGCAAGGTCACTTGTCACTACCAATCACTCAAACCCCACAAAGCTTTCTTTGGCATATGAAACACACTTAATGTGTCCTCTCTGTTATGGAAGAACAATCAGTGATTTTAATTTGTTTCCTAAAGTATGCCCACAAAAGTATATGCTATGTGAGTGAAAACCAGAGCTGGAATCTTCTGGGAACACATATAAACATAAGGAATTATCATCAAAGGTGTATGATGCACCAAAAGTACTTCCATAGTCCTTCTGTGGTTGACCAGGGGTACCAATTGTTGCTGTTTACTTACCTCCTGGTCTACAGATCCAAGGAGCTTTCCTACATGTACATCATAAATCTTCCTATACAAGCAATGCTTATGATTTCTTTCTTATGCACTGTACTTACCTAATCCTTTAGGAGTAATGCCACTGCTATCAGCAGGATTAACCACCCAGTAGTAGTATTTCAGTGTGTGCATTAACTGTAGTACTGTTCCAACTCGACGTATAGTGTTATAGATAGTAGCAGTTCCAATGAATTCAGCTGACAAGTAGGTATACAAAGACAGCTGCACCTGAAGAATGAAAGAGTTATCCACAAAAAATGTAAGCTACATATTAATAAGCTTAATTTGTAGGTATTTTAGGATTTACTTGGGATGTGACATAAAAAAATGAGAAACAATTACAAATAACTTTACTTAGGGCAGGACTGGAATGACCTCCAGAGGTCCCTTCCAATCAAAATTTTCTATGAGTCCATAAGTTATCTGGTACATTTTCTATTTTGGCTTCTTATACTAAAAGTACATATTATCAGATTTTAGGACCATGTCACTTTTCACTTTGGTCCACATTCCTCAACTGTGATTATTTAGGAAAACAACTAATTCATTATCACCAGAGATGAATGATAACTTTTCACAGTTTTTATCAAACCAAAATACATAATTTAAATGAAAATGAAAGTTTATGCAAAAATGTAAAAAAAAAAAAAAAAAAGATAACTTATCTTTTGCTTACAATTAAAAATATATATTTTCATGCTTCGTCTTTAGGAAAACATTGTAACACAGGCACCAAAAAAGGGACTCTGTTTCTAGAAAGAAGTCTTTTGACACAGTTAGTCAGAATCTTAGGCAAGAATGTAACTGCTTTTAGAAACTTATAAAAGACATTGAAGAATATAGTTAAGCAGGGTATAGACTTCATGATCTAAAAAATCTTTCCTCTTGCCATGTCTTAAAATTAAAAAAAATAAAAACCTAAGTATCACGGAATAAAAGAATACTTGTAGCAGAGTCATAACACCATTGAAGTGTACAATTACCTTTGCAGGGGTATGTATCCAGATAGCAGGATTAAAAAGGATGTGATCACATAATTGTTTCAGCAGAGGTGCTCCATGAGACAATCCATCCAAATATTTTGCAAATGATAAAAATTGTTCCAGAACTGCTCTGGTTATATGAACTCTAGATGACTGCCAAAAAATAATCAGAAAGAATAGAGATAAAGAAAAATCTTCTTCCTTAACATAGTTATAGTAGAAATATGAAATTGTATTTTCACCAGACTCCTCTTTACTAAATAAATGCAACCTTGTATGCTTTTATGTCACTGAATATGAAAGGAAAGTAAGAAAAAATATCTGCAACTTACACTGTCTAATAATATTCATGGTCTTTCTAATAGCTACACTTAACAGGTAAAAATATAAATCAACAGCTAAGATTATTATTTTTTTTTTTTAATTCAAATCCAGTCAGGATTCTACATTTCACAGCACAGTACCTTGAGAACAACTTCTGAAGTCCTTAAGTCTTCTTCAGTTAATTACATGTCTTAACGAAATTGGGTTTCTCAGTATGTAAACAGACATTACTGGTAGACTTGCTTTTGTTTCTTAAACATAAGTAGGTATTTGAAAGATTTGGGATCAAGGTTTCCTCAAATTTCAAGAGAGTCCCTCAGTTTCATAGCATATGCTATAAAATCACTGTTGAGAGCTGCTCCGATGCAGTAACATAGCATGTGGACTTTAACAAACTTCTTTATATCCTAAGTTAACAAAGGGAACTAATAGGGAAAACGACTAAACATCCTTCCCCTTGCCTTCCCTAAAAAACGTTCCAATTACTTTTAATGCTGTAAATACAGTCTGGGAACATGCAGATGTGTTATTTTTAGAAGTGAAGTCCTTTTGTCAGTAATACAAGTTCAGCCTGGATGCTGAGTTTCCTTTGGTTTGTACGTCACAATTCACAATAAATAGTCTGCAACTAATAAGAACAAAAATGTTATTTTGAAGTTCAAGTCAGAAAAAAAAAACGCTTTCTGTCCTCTCTGAGGTATTTGATCACACACAAATGAACAACAAATAATTTACAAATAATAATACTGAGCTTAGCCAGGAAACGAAAGGACTTTTTCCTGCCATATGTGCCAACTGAATATAAGCAGATACTGAAAAAATAAAATACATCCTTTTGAAAAGCTGCAGCTAAGGAGAATATATCATAGAAAAACACAGAAAATGGCATATGCTGTAAGAATTATGTTGTGACAGAAATCAATCAAAATCCTTTAAATATTCTCATGAGTTTAATGATTGTAGCAGGTGTTAATTAGAACAGTATGCAAACTTTATTTTTAATTTCATGTACAACAATTCTAAATCGCGATATTCAATCTGTGTAAACCACAGTGGTCTATTCAGGAGAAAGGGATGCCATGAGGGCTCACTAGCCTGCCTGTATATAACTTACAGAATTGGAGCTAACAGCTTTGTAAATTCATTCTGGTTATGTCACAAGAAAACTTACTACTGGAAAAAAAAACAGCTTAGACTACTTCTTTGGCATGCTAAATCACCCTTGCTTAGTACAGAAAACACAGAAGCATAGAAAATAACCTGCTTTTAGGTATTACTTCAGTGAAGAATTTCTACTATAAGAATGTATTTCCCTAGCTGAAAATAACATAGGGAGCAGAATGAGAAAAAATATTTATCATTCTTCCTCAAAATTAAGTACATTTTTAAAGGTGAGATGATTGTTATTTAATGTCACCATTGGAAACACAAAGCTCTGGTCGTAACTTCTCAAATGACTGTTACACTGACTGTATGCTAATGAAAAATACAGTAGCGGACATTCAAGAATGTTAGAGCCATGAGATTCAACCATATGTGCATTACCATCTTAGTACAGCAGACAGAAGTTTGTTTTCAGATTATTAAATTGCAGTAACATGAGGGCTTTGGGCCAGGAGGCAGGTAATGTACCTAAGAGAAGCATCTGAACTGAACTTCAGTTTTGTGATAACTGCTCATCATGTCTGAAAACAAGCAAGTAAAGGGAATGACTCTTGCAATGGTTTCTTTCAGAAATGAAATTATTTTATTTTTTTTCCTTCAAGACACAGAGCAACTATTTCAACAATTTCCAAACTGAGCCACAGAGGATTAACTTGATTTTTATTAACATGCACTAAAAGAGAAATTTAAACCTATATTATAACATGCCTGTGATACACTTGTACAAACTGGGAACAAGAGAACTTTCTTAAATAAGAGTTTGGGGACAGAGGGTGGAGAAACACAAATGAAAATGCATCAAAGCTATTCACAGACAGATCTAAAGTAAAAGCACAAATCAGACAACCAGTATTAACTCCAGAAAACTGATTCTTTGAATACTGGCATATAAGAGAATAAGAGGAAAAGACTCTGTAGACAACTTCTAAGTACTAAAAATGAAAAATATTTTATATCTCAAGTATATTTTATTCCACCAGTCCTTTGAGCCGATTGAAAATACCACAATGGCAGTAGAAATACTAAGAAGAAAAATAAAAAAACCTCCAAACATACCTTTTCAAGGAGGTAGCCAATGACTAGAAAGCCTTTTCCACCAAGCATTTGTTCTTGCATGGCTACTGAACTCTTAAGAAGCTCAACCAAGAAGGCCAATAGGGTAGCACTGCAGGTAAAGAACAGGCATTTTTTTCAGATTACAAATGTGGAAAAATCAATCTGTTACATTCTCAACATTCACCAGCTATTAAGTGAACAGAAAAAGGCTTAAAGTGGTGAACAATTCCTTGAAACAATACAAATCTTACATTTCCTGTTGACAAATTTCTCCAATCATTGCTTAGACATTACAATGGTAGGAGTAGGAGTTCATATTCAAAGAAAAGGGGCAAAACCATTTTATCAGCTCTCATGATTTGACCAGCATTATCCCAGGCTTTAAATATCCAGTTCTGCAGCTTGCAGTTCTAGCCAAAGGTTTTGCAGTTGGAAGAGGCAGGAGATGATAAGTGGGATCCAGCTGACAGTGCTAGAATGATGCAGGAAGGGGCTGCGCCAACCACGTTACCATCCAGACTAAGTATGGTAAACAGCAAAATTTGCAGCCACTAGGTATATTTTCATTCCACACTTTCAGTCCCTAGAGTCACTACTACCACAGAAATGAGGCATAAAATGGCTGAACATGCATGCAGGCAATAATGCCCACGACAAACCACAGTAGAACAGCAGCAGAGTGAAGAGCTTCCTTCATACTTTCTCCAGACCAAACATAAGAATAATACCTGGGCCTGACAAAATAGAGGCTGACAATCACTTTCATCCAGTTAGGAAAGCACAGAGAGACTCCAGAGGCCACACGGAAATCACCCAGCAGCCCATCCCAGCAGTGTCTGTAAGTGAGGTGTTCAGAAAGCACAGGGAGGGAAAAAGAGTGTTCTTAAGAGGTTACTGTTTAGAAAATAAGAGATATGAAAGACTTCAGGGGACAGACTCGGCAAGAAAGTGAAACTATGTTATGAAAATTAACAGTGGAAACATGACAGACCAATGCACAGTGTGAGAAAAATCAAAATTGACTCTTGGGTTGTGAGAGGGAAACAAAAATAAACTCATCTGTTGCTGAAAATCTCAGAGGAAAGGAAGAAATTAAAAGAAAAACATCTACGCCAGAAAGGAAATATTTAAACTTATTTTTCAAATATCTCAGAAAGGTAGATGACAGAATACATAAAGTCATTATTCCTCTTCTAAAACCAAAATAGGTATAGCAGTTCCCAAATGTACAGACAAATATCTGCAACCATGAACGTTCTCACACAGGTGGTGGGCACAGGCAAGAGCAAGGGTATAAACTGTGGCTTTTGCAGCTACGAAAACACAAAACAAAGGAAATGTCCAACTTGCATTTTATAAATTTCAACTTCACTTACAGCATCTGGTCAGTTAAGTTTCGCTTGCTCTCCAAATACATTTTTTCACTTTGAAATAAATATTGAGATTGGTTAGTCCATGCCAGCACCAAAAAATAATCAATGTGCTGAGGTAAACAATATTTACTCTATTTGGTGAGCAAGGCTGCCATGCGAAAAGAACACAGTGTGGGCAAAGTACATGCTGTGAACATGAAATAATGCCTTGTCTTGCTTCATTGCTGAATGGTCAGAATAATCAGTCTAAAATCACATTCACATACAGAATACTCCACAGAGTGTCAGCAGTAAAAGAACACAGATAATATCCATCTACAGTACTCGAAAGCTTTTATCAAAACAGACTGTCAAGCTGTCAGATCAATTTCAAACTAGGTTATATGCATCAATTTTTTCTTACCCTGACTGAAAGTTTCTTGTATTTGTCGTCTAAACTAAGATACTCATCATTTCTACTACATGACAATCCATAAGAAGCTTATTTAATGGATTGAAGTTTCATATTTAGAAACTTTTAAAAAAAATGAATAGTTTAAAGAAAATTCCATGTAAATGGTGCTATCATCGAAAAATGTTGAAAAACATTCTTAAAATGGATTTAAAAGATTGTTGTACCATGAACATGGCACCAGACTTAAGTTTAAAGGTTCTACTTCCACTTCCATAAGTGATTTATCAGAAGCCACTTTCTTTGTATTGCGGTTTATTTGTCCATTCTACGAACATAGATATAAACTCATAGGCTGGAGTTATTCTTATCTCGTATTAGTACAACCTCTATGCAATTGTTAGAAATTCTGCTAGGACTCCAAAGACAAGTTATAAGACACACTGACACCCTAACAATAAAGATTTTTCTCTCTTTTCTTCTTTATAAGTACACACAAAACACACCAGTCAACTCAGAAATAATCAGTGGCTGTTTAATATTTAACCAAGCCACAGACACAGAAGCATACAAGCTGTCTCTATGCAAGAAAGAGTGAATCAACAAAGTTTATTAATTCAGATGCAGATAGAGCCCAAATATCACTTTTTAGATATCAACCATCTTTACGTGGGGCACGGCTGAACTGATTAGTCCTGCCTGTCCACATCAGCTCTGCATAGATCTACCTTAGCAGTCAGTGCAAGTCACTGCAAAGTGATGCCAGTGTTTCTAGTTCCTGGAAACTGTATTAATACAGCCAATAGTTTTGTGAATGAGCTATGCATTTTCCTAAGTCCAAAAAGGCTTTTAACATCTATCAAAACAGACACATAAAGACACTACAACCCAGCTCTGCAGAGTCAGCTCAGGTCTGCAACAGTAACTCTAGTTTCTAATCCTTCTGCATTATCCAAGACTGCCACCATAAATAATAGAGTTGACTGTAGTATGTAGTAATTCAAATCTTGGCACAGCATATGTGAATGCATCATTAGACTTTACACCTTCAAGCACATAAAAAAATTCAAAGTACCAGAGAAAGCAGCAGTTAAGGAGAACCAGCTGGCAGTCACACAGAGGCACAATGAAGTTTGAGACGAATACACACCTCAATGTTAGTGATGTTAGGACAATGTTAGTGATGAAAATTAGCACCTTAATTAAATGTAACTAGCATTTTGTTCACATTATTACACAGGAAATGAAGATCTGTAATATTTTAACTGATAGAAGAACTATAAAATAAAAATGGAAGTGTTTTTAAATTCCCACTGCACATAACGGTACCTGAAGCTATTACTGCCTGAAGATGCTGATCAGAGACAGGTAGAAAACAGTACATGCTTAGTCTGACTTTTTTCTGGAAATCTTGCTTACACTTAATTCAGGTGAAACTCCTTGTTTGAAGGAGGAAAGGAGGGAATTAAACTATACTAAATGACAGTGTTGCACAAAACACTGTTTTTACATGTTATGTTATCTATCTTACATACTTTATGCGAGAGAGCATTCCATCTGCCTGAAAAGACCCAACAGTTAACAATTCTCAGATAAGCTTTCCCAACTTCTTCAAAACTTCTCTTTCCCCACGTTCAGATTGGCCTCAAAGAAACATTGATGTGTGTGCGTGTATACATATATCTATAAATATTCATGTCGATATAATGGATCTTTTCTCCTCAGTATTGCATTTAGTCTTCTAGAGAACTGGCTGCCTAATTTAGAGGACTGTATCCAGAAATTTTACCACATTTCTAAAGATAGTCAATTTATGTCATCCTCTTGGCAGCTGAAAATAAAATAAACCTGAAGATTTTGAACATAAAAAATTCTATCAGCAGAACTAGGTTGTCAAAATTATGCTTTTAAAAAGGCTGCTGTTGACACAGGAGAAATAATATTTATTAGAAGATGGTCTTCTAAGATGAACAATTTTTCAAACAGAATTTAACAAACTTACCAGTAACTAAAATGCATCGGATTGCTGCAGGGTTCACATTAAACTTGCAAAATTCTGTGCACTGCCATACAAAATATCTCTCCATTCTTGCCTATTTTCAACTCCCCTAGATACAAAGGCAAATATAAAGGATACTTCAGCCCATTCCTACACCTTCTCTATACCATGCCCTGCCTAGAACAGATCAGCTTGTCTGCAGTGCAGCAAAGATACAGACATACAATGAAAGTATATATGTCAACCAACAGTAAATCAGACTGAATTATGAATGATTTCTACTGAAAATATAATTAATTTCAGGATATTTTTTTTTCCAGCAGTTTTCCATTTTCTGCTAAGAAGCAGAAAAAAAAAAGGATGCAGACCAAAACTTGAAGATGCTGTATTTCCAATGTTTATAATACTGCTTATTCTATAATTAGCAGATTGTAGAGGCAGTAAGTCTGTGGAATACTCTTTACGTAAAAAATTGAAGATGAATTACATTGTTACAGTACCACCTGATTTTCCCATCAAACACACATGTCCCTTGTGAAGACTTTAAAAAAAATCCCAAAACCCAAAAAAACCCAAGAGCACAGAATTGGTGTTTACAGCATACACTGTCTGAGTGGAAGACATTCTTAAGGATGCTTTCATGGCTCTACATATTTATTATATTTGTCCCTATTTTTTATTATATAAGTCCCTAATTTTTAAATTCAGACAGTTATTCTTACAACATGCACTGTGAAGTTACAAATACCACCTAGCTTATTTCATTCATCCAAATATATAATATAAAAAACAATTATGTTTCAATAGTTCATAATTATGTTTCAATATTCTATTTCAATTTCACAATCTTGAAACAGCCATAGAATCATAGAATCATTAAGGCTGGAAAAGATCTCAATGTAATATTACTCCTTAAATAAAAAATACACTACAGTAATTCACAAAAACAACAGCTTCAGTATATAAGTCTTCAAAATTCAAAAAAATGAAACTTCCTTTTTAATTAAAAATAAGAATAAATACACACATTAATAAATATTTCATTTTCACTGTCTATTTGTGTCTATGGAAATTTTGAAGAACCTTTTTTAGATTACAGATAAAAGGATCTCACAGTGGAAATCCCCGAGTTATGAAGTTTTTATGCTATGACAATCACTGAACAAGAAAGAGACACCCTTGTCAAACTGTAAATTTTCTGGGAGCTCCCACTACTTATTACTGTTTTGTGTAGCTAAAATACAGGACAATTTCGATAAACTATTCCTATGAAATGAGTTTCTATGACTTCACTTAGGAACGAAGGAACATCAGTCACATATTCAAATAAACTCAGGTGACAAAGG